AGTCGCCGACAGTGGTTTTTTATGTTTTTTACCTGCCGGACATGAAATTGAAAAAAATCCGGAAAATTTGCCACGTAGGAAAGGCGCCCGCTGCCGTGGCCTAGGTTTCTCACTGAAAATCCTCGTCCTCCGGCGGCACCTTTTTTTGAATTTTCTTCCTTTTCAACGGCGTTTTTCGGATTTTTTTTGAATTTTTTCGCAATAATATTCGGAAAATAGATAACTTTTAACATATTTTTATGCAACAAAAATTTTTGGTCGGAGTCCCCCTTTTACAAAGTCTCATTATGTCGATTAATTTTAAATTTTCAGAAGCTGCTTTTATTCATCGTGATCACAAATCGTGGTTCTATGAGAACCGTAACATTTTCAAGCTGTCAAATCTAAAGAGACGACATATTTTGGAATATTGGTTATACGGAATCCTTGATCCACCTGACCAAGAAGATCACCACTCAAATCGAAAGAATTTAAAAGTTATCAAGAACTTTGACTTTGAATATTGGTGTTTTGGGAAGCTCAAGAATCTAGGCACCGAATTTCGAATCAAAAGGAATCGAAGGACTAAATCGATTCACAAGAAAACATCCATATCGGAAGACTATCATATCTCACATTAAATCCCTCCACTGAAATTCGGTAAGTCGTATTTCCAGCTAATCCAACAAAAGTGTAGTCTCGAAGCTTTGCATCAACCATAACAGTTTGTGACGATTTCTCAGTTTCTTGAGAACCTAAAAACACTAACAAAAATAACAAATATTGATTAACTCCTATACTTCTCATAACCGCTACAATCAACCGCTGTTTGGTTATCTCCTTCTCTTCAACTTCTTCAGAATCCACTGTCCACACAATTCTGATTGCGTCATTTCGAACTTCTATCACTTGCACCCGCTCAACGTCTTCATCTTCTCCTGCTAATCAGATTTAGCGCGGATTTTCACTAACTTTTTGTTTGGCTACTTACAAGAATTTCCGGTTCGAATACAAAAAATTAGAATAAATGAAAATACTGGAATTCTCATTAAGAAGAGAAAAATTTAAAAGATGATGGAAAATGAGAGAAAGAAGGTGTAGGTGATAGAAGAAGAAGAGAAAAAACGACAGAGAAAAAGAATCATCTTGTCAAAAAAAAAAAGAAGAATCTTTTTTCGTTAGCCGACGACAAAAAAGAAGAAACAGTGACGAGAAGAAGAAGGGATAATTTGAAAAATAGGAAAATCAGAGAATTTAAAGAATGATAATAAAAATCCGAAAGTTATTATTAGTGAGGAAATTTTGAAGTGAGCAAAAGAAAATTCCCTTGATTGACATTTTTGATAAGCTTGAGGAATTTTCAACACTATTGAGGAATTTCCAACACTATTGAGGAATTTCCAACACTACTATTCTGTATTATGCTTGTCTGAGAAAAAAAAGGTTGAGACGCAGAGAAAATGTGTATGCGTCTCCACCGTTTGTGTGGTATTTAGGCTCTCCGCTTCGAGATCGCTACCGTATTCAGACTGCAAAAAATACCCTCTAACCTTTTTTTTTCTCAGACAAGCATAATATAAGAAGTCGGGCACTTAACTTTAGATCCAATGTTTTTGTTGTTGCTTGTCCTATTTAAACTTTTTGAACATGACGCCATTTTTGGGTTATCTAGGGAAAACAAGTCGGTACTGATGATTTTTTCCAGAACATACTTTCGCTGAATGGCCTTTTTCCTTCTACTCGGACACTGTAAAAATGCTACAAAACCGAGTTTAAAACTCTTACCCCCCCCCCCCCCCACAGGAATTAATTTATAAATATTTCTTATCGTTTGCACTTTCTACTGTTTTCTGCTCTTGCTCACCCTTAAATTTGCGTTGAAGGCCATGTGAACGGTTGAAAGTGTATAATTAATGAAATCGATTATTCAGCAGGGTGACTCAAAGTCTACATTTTGGAGTTAAACTTGTGAAAGCTTTAAAAATCTCTCTTCTGTAAACTTCTAGAAGATTGAATTTTTGGCGGGAATCTTTCAAAAAAATCGAGAACCATCTTTTCAGAATTTCTTGCCTTTGAAGCGATTTCTCAAAGTCTTGCTTTTTTCTTTACGAATCTATAATCTTATCTATCTAAATAGTGCAACGCAATAGTTAGGTCCCTGCAGAAATAGGTTCTGATGTGAGGAACGCAGTGCAAAATTTCGAAACTGCAATTTCTTCACAATTTTCGTTATGTTCCGTTTGTCCAGAATGTTCCGAAATTTCAACATATTCCCGCCGTTCTCTCAAAAAATTAGGCTAAAATTTCTCAGCGATCTCGTTTTGTGTGCATTTTGTCGGCAAATCTAGTGCATTCCTTTTTATGCGCGACACTCTATCCATAATTTCCATGGAAATCTCATGAAATTTCTATAAAAACTGACTTAATCCTTGTTTTTTTAATGAAAATTATTTTCAAATTTAAAAAATTCAATTTAAACAAAAAATAACAAGCCTATTTGAACGCCGTTCGTTCATAATTTTACTTAGGTTTATGCAGAGTCAACGAACTAATATTAATACTAATCCGCTTGCAAAAATCGATGCTGTTCCCTATTCATATACTTTTTTGCAGAACAAAACGGGTGGGAAAAAAGCAAAGTACAAATCCAGCGGATATGTCTATTGTAAACACAACTGAGTGTATTATCTGTTATAATGAATATGGCAAGTTTTAATTCAATTTTTAAAATTTTATTGTGTATTTTCAGACACTGAATCTCGAAAACCTTGCATCGGAACATGTGGTCACTCAATTTGCGAACACTGTAAACATCAAATGCTCTCATCAAAATGTCCGCAGTGCAATCGAGAAGAAGCGTTCGCAATCACAACAATTAATTATCAAGTTCTAGAATTAATTAAACATTTTCGAAGTATGCAAGCGGGTGAATCATCTGGCTCACGATCTCTATTAGACGATGCAAAAGTGAGTATTTGCGAAAATTTAACGCTACCAATGTTCTCTTCAGGGTCTCGACGAAGGTGTGTGTAGTGAATGTACATTACGATCTCGAAAACTACGTCTGTGTGTCACTTGTGCAGTAAACGCGGGTGTATTGAAGCATGACGACAACAAAAAGGAATTTGTATTGAATGTCGAAAACAATGATATCGAAGCTGCCCTTCAGAAAGCCAAGAAAAACGCGATTTGCGGTGATTGTGCACTCGACGGAGTGCTGCACGAAGGCCACAAAACTATGCAATTGGCAGTTTTGAAAAATAGTTTGGAGGATAGAGTGCCGGCGACAGTAGAAGATAAAATGAAAAATATGGAAAAAAATGCTCAAAAAGTATGCGATGAGCTTCAAAAGGGATTCAATGAGGCTATAGGCTCATTGAAGAATTATTTTCAGCAGTATACTGCTTTGCCATCAAACGAACGGAAAATACATTTCAATAATGTTGAAGCGAGCATAGAGAAGATAAATGACACGATGTCTTTGACCAAAGATGCAGTTAAAAGACTTGAAATATTGAATAACGAGTTTCACGAGAGCGCGGATATTGTTAAAACGAATTCTAAAGCTGTGACGAAAGCCGCAACGATGTTCGCCACAATGGACCCGGTTCTTGTTGCTGGTAAGTGTTTTTGGAGGGTTTTGAGATTGGAATGTGGTGTTTTGTGTGAAAAAAAGATAATTTGGCTCCGCGTCACTTCAAAACCGGTTATTTCGAAACCGTGGTAACGGAGGCGAATGGATGAATTTCAGAAAAAACAATTTTAGGGGTTTTCAAATATGCTTTTTCTCGTAGAACACATTTGGAAATTACGAAAATTTAAGAATTTTCCTTCTTTTGA